TGTTTGAATTATCTTTTTTACATTTTTACCGCGATTACCCACATACGTGAAGTTTCTTAAAAACTACAACAGGTTAAGATGCGACTACAAAGTCGACCTAAACAACTACAAAGTTGTATGCCTCGAGTGAAATCTCGGCAAGGCTACAAAGCCTGCAACTACAAAGTCGACCTAAACAACTACAAAGTTGTATGCCTCGAATGAAATCTCGGCAAGGCTACAAAGCCTGCGACTACAAAGTCGACCTAAACAACTACAAAGTTGTATGCCTCGAGTGAAATCGCGGCAAGGCTACAAAGCCTGCGACTACAAAGTCAACCTAAACAACTACAAAGTTGTATGCCTCGAGTGAAATCTCGGCAAGGCTACAAAGCCTGCAACTACAAAGTCGATTTACACAACTACAAAGTTGTATGCCCCGAGCGAAATCTCGGCAAGGCTACGAAGCCTACGACTACGAAGTCGACTCAAACAACTGCAAAGTTGTGTGTAGAATCTCGTCAAGGCTATGAAGCCTACGGCTATAAAGTCATTTTAACTACAAAGTGTCAACAAATGAAGTGTCGATAAATTTACGACTACGAAGTTATAACAAGTGAAGTCTCGATGAATTCATAATTAAAACCAATTTAAATCACAAAGTGTTGAGTACACGATAATTCAAGCAAAAGAAAACGAAAGATAATATTAGAGATAGGTTCATTACAAGAATCATCTCGACTTTTACACTCTGAAGAACTAGGTTGAGACAAGAATAAACGACATAAAAGAAAATTATGGAGAATAAAAGGCGACAGGCCTAGAAATACGATCCTAAGAGTTAGCATCTTCGTCGCTCTCATTGGTGGTGGTTACTATCTGACCTTCCTCAAGATTCGGGTCGCTAGGATGGATCGGAGAAGTGGAGGGAGCCTCCGGCTGATAAGAGAGCTTGGCGACTTGAATAGTCCTAGCCTCGAGACCAGACCACCATGGGTAGTCGTCCGGAAGGGATGGATCACCCTCGTAACCATCAGGGTCAGGAAGCGCATGCTTCATCGCCTCGCGGTCGAGTTTCCCAGTAAACTCGAACCCCACCACCACCGCCTCCCACGCATCGAAAGCATGGTCGAAATATTGGACGGCGGCGGGGCAAAGCTTGTCGAGAAACTCGGGTGAGTTACAGAAAGCCTTGACGACTTCTTTGCGGTAGGCCCTGACGAAGGCAGAACCCATGGCGGTCTTTAAGAATGACCTCTGGCCCTGCACGATGCCGATATCCTTCTCGAATATCACCTCGTCTCGGGCCTTCTCAAGGTCGGCCTAAAGCTTCTCATTATCATGCTGGGCCACGGCCTTGTCGGCTCTCAGCTTGTCGACCAACGCCTTAGACCCCTCCAGCTCTTTCTTCAGTTGGGCGATCTCCCTAAGTTGCGCCTCGCATTTCTCCTCGAGGGCCTTAGTAGAAGAAGTGGGGGCTTTGGTACCCGCCTCGAGGCTGGGGAGAGCGGCCGCCAAAAACTACACAAAGAAACGAATAATGAGGTAATGCAAGAATACACAAACATGAACACCCAACTAAGTACAAAACACATACCCGAGTAAGGCACTGAGTGGTGTAACAAGAACGCTCGTAGTCATTCCCCTCGACGCGAGCCTTGTCGGCCTCGGGGAGCCGAGAGTGGAGGTATTTTGCCACCTTATGCGGCTCTGGATGATTCTAGAGCCGAGACGGCATCTTGACCAGCACGTCCTTGTAGGTGATGGCAGAAGCAGCGTTCTTTTCAACGACCTTCTCTTTGCCCTTGTCGACCTTACGGCGTTTAAGGTCATCGGGAAGAAGAGAAGGGGTTCTTGTATCTTGAGGCCTCTTGCGGCTATTAGACCCCGAGGATTTAGACCGCTTGGCGGCAGAAATCGACTTTGAGCCAGACCAGCCTACCGACGACCCAGTCGGCTGTCTCTTTTTTATTTCGAATCGCTTGAGTGCTTGGACTGAAACAAAAACAAATAATCCAACAAGACTGAACGAAAATAGAAATCAAACTCGACAGTACGAGAAACGTCAGACAGCTTACGGGGATCATCGAGCCGAGAGATATCGTCATACAGAACAATTCGAGCGTGATTGACTAACTCACGATATTTTATTATGCGTCGAGCACTATAAGTACACTTATTCAACTCCTCTAAAAGCCTTTCAAAGTTCTCGGATCGAGGCCGTTTATTTTGTTTAACTTTAGTGCTTATCCAATTATTTGCATAAGGATAAGCACCGACGGGTGGGCGAGTAGACACAAATTTTGACTTCCATTCCGTAATGTTTGAGGAAAGGTCATCGAGAAAGGTGACCCCGGAATGGCGAATTAAGCAGTTGGCCCCCTTTTGAAGTTGATAACCATAGCAGTAATGAAAAAAATCGGCTGAGGAAAAACGGAGGACTACACGAGAAATAACAATAAAGGCTATCATGATACAGAGCGCGTTTGGAGAAAACTGATTTATTGGGATACTGTACAAATCACTTATTTCCAAAAGTTCGACTTGGATTGGAAAGCGGAGACCAAAAATAACTTGGTCAACAAAAAAAGGATAGCAGCCCTGCGGGGGACAGGCGAAGTCGCTGTCAGGGCCCGGGACAACCAACTCCCAATCGGAGGGAAGCCCGCTAAATCGCCTAAAGCTCTCCACCTGAGCCACAGAGGCATGAGAAAAGGGGTTTAAAGTGGCCAATCTGGCCAAAGGGCAGGCTACTGATACAATCTTTCGAGGATCAAGGGGAGTAACTACTGATACAGGTACATGACTGGTACTATATACAAGGATATCTAATAACCTAAGGAGAATACCTTGAGGAATCAAGTCGAGACGAGGAGAGTTTCTCCGGGGACTCCTTGAGACCTCTACTAGACCACCATCTAATAGCGCCTGATCATACTCAGCCCAGTCAACCTTCGGGGTCGAAGTGCGTGATGAAGAAGGAGAAGCGTTAACCATCTTATAACCAATTATCTCGACTGAGCTTGAGTCAGATTGGTCAAAGCCCATGTCGATCAATTTGTCGAGTGTGTCAGGCGAAGAGCCAGAATTGGAAGCTAGAAGAAAAAGAAACAAAAGCAAAGATCAGTCATGACGAAATAAAATCAAGCAAAGCACAGTCGACTCACCTAAGTCGACGAAAATACGAAAGAGGAGGAAAGTAACATGGTGTGATTCGATGGAAACATGACGGTAAGTCGACATGAAGCCAACTCGGGGAAAGTAAAAAAAAAAGAGAAGAAAACGGGTGTCGATAAGAATCGACATAATAAAAGTCGACAAGTGGTTACACGCTGTAACCCAGCCATACGCTAGCAGTTAACCAAAATAGAGAGTGTGCACACAAAGATCCAACATAAAATCTTCAAGAAAAGGTTGAAGAAAACGAAGAACACGAAGAACACAGGGGCTCAGAAAAACCCGAAAACCTAGAAAGTAAAAGAATAGAGTGGTAGAGAAAGTAAAGCACTTACCCATATTACTCATGACGGTCTGAAGGTGATTAAGATGCCGGAACTGTGGAAAAAATTGCCGGAGAAAAAAGCTTGGATCCCTAGATCGCCAGAGTTGCAGAGTAAATTGGGAAGAAGTGAAAAGTGTTTTGTTGGTGGTACAGACCGAACGGATGGCAGTAAGAAAAAGAAAGAGAACCGGATGACTCCGGGATCGGGACGCTGCCGAACAAATGGGAGAGAATAAGTGAGATCTGTTTAATCATTACAAGAGCCAGTCGTACTGCGCGCATTAAATGCGGAGATACATGAAAATCTTTTATCCGACGGCAAAGGAAAAATAGGGACGCGTGGCACGATCCGGACGACTCTCAGATATTGGGAAAAGATTATCAAGTACAATTAGCATTAAATGTTGAATGAATAATATCTAAAAATATCCTGAAAAAGGAAATGTAAAAATCCCCAAGAGGGAAATGTAAAGTCCCTAAACTTCTTATAAAAGGGAGGGGAGGACATCATTTAATGCAATGAGTAAATGCTCTCATTAATTATTCAATAAGTCACGGATAGACTGAGCATTCGGACCAGTAAAATTAAACCGAATCACATACACAAATACTATTCATGCAGACCGAACAGAGTACACATCTTAGTGTACAGTTCGAACACATTGTTGGTCATTTTTAGACATCAACAATTGGCGCTAGAGGAAGGGCTATTCTAGCATGTCAAAGACAACTTCATCATCATCAAGCCAGAGTCGCCGGCGAGACTCACCGGAAGAAAGGGAAGACCGGCGAAACAACCCAACCACGACGACGGACTATTCAGCCTTTTTCAAAGACCCAAATTTTTTTAAGGGAATATCTACGTCTCAAGCACCCAAAACCCCAGCCAAAAAAGACCTTACCAACACCCTCAAAGGCAAGGAAACGAATGTTCGCGAAGAAACCACCCGGTCTCCCAGAAGCACGAAGGAAAAATCCACCACCCGGACGGAAAATTAAGTCGCTCGGTCACGGACACTCGAACCCGAAACACCACCCGGTCAATTTTCAAACGGCTGGGAAAAAACGTGGCCGACGACGACTTGAGGAGAACATTGACCAGAAGGCGAACGACTCAAGCCGAAGAAGACGAAATGAAGAGCCTCCGAAGAAGAATAGCCAAACTCGAAGCTCGGCGTTCGGCCTAAAAACGACTAGCTTCCACCAGACAGGATCTGACAGAAGTCCCTCTCAAACGAGCCACGACAACCGCAAGGGCACTAACGGAATCCAGCCCAACCGAACCCGAATCACCCCTAACATTTGATATTTTGCAGGAACAGCTGCCCGAGAAGATCATGATCCCACAAATTGGATTTTATGACGGAACATCTGACCCGGACACCCACCTAGGATTATACACGTCATGGATAGACCTGCACGGAGCACCGGACGCCCTCCACTGCCGGATGTTCTCATTAACTCTGGGAGAAAAAGCACAAAGATAGTACCATTTGCTCGCCCCACATTCGGTCGCTAGGTGGTCACAATTAAAGTCCATGTTCCGAACCCACTTCATCGGATCTCAGGCGTGCCGAATTCCCAAAGAATCGATCACTCACATTATCCAGGGAGCAGACGAGAGTTTGAAGGATTACATCACCCGTTTCAACGAACGGGTACAAAACATGGAACCGTGCCATCAGGAGACTCTGCTCGTTTCGGCATATTCAGGACTGAGACCAAACTCGATGTTCAAATGGACCCTCTGCCAAACAAACCTCAGACGTATCACGAATTCTTGATGAAAGCTCAACAACATATCATGGCAGAAGAAAACATGTTCGTCCCGTCATTCCCAGCCCTGAATGAGCAAACCACCAAAGCAAAGGAATCCCGACCGAACAAGGAGTTTGCGAAGGACGGAAGAAGCTCCCAATTCCAAGCCATGCAGAGGAAACATCACGAGGAACTCACGAACAGCTACCAGGGGGTGTATTCGGCCGGCGCAGCCGTAGTGTATGAAGAGTTGAAAAGGCCAAGAAACGATGAACGAATGAACCCAGGAGACGAGCCCGATTTCGGACTGAATCCCCGGAGAGCAAACGAACATCACAATGAAATCTTGACGATCAGTCAGGAGCAACGAGGCGAGACGAGCGCATCCGGGGAAGGAAAAGGACAGCGTCTAGACGAGACGAGGAGCATTCGGTTCACATCCCAATCCGAATAAGCGAACTGCCCACAAGGGTCAATACGAGCCGAGAATGTTCGAGCGTGTCAAGAAGACATGTCAAGGCATACGTCCGAAAAGCATACAACACAGGACACCAAGTCAGCCGAGCGGAGGTCAACCGACACATCCCCATGCCCACAAATCTAATAATGTTTTCGGATGAAGATTCTCTCCTGTTTGATAATCCACACTCAGATGCGCTCGTAATCACAGCCCCCATTTTCTGAATCCCAGTCCACCGAATCATGGTGGACACATGGGCGTATTCAAGTATCTTATACTGGACCGCATTCCTTAAAATGGGGATAGACCAAAGCGAACTGCGCCCATGCAACGACCGCATAACTGGATTCAACGGACAGGCAACCATTCCCGAAGGAGAAATCACATTACCGATCGATCTCGGGGGATCAGGAGCGAACGGACGCAGGATCATAGAGACTTTCAAAGTGGTGAAAACGGCCAGCGAGTACAATGCCATCCTCGGGCGTCCACTATGGCAACCAAAGGGAAGCAAAAGAGTGCATCATGGCGATCCCGTCATTAGAAATACACTCGGTCATGATGGCAAACGAGGAAGAGAAACTGATCGTCGAACCAGTTGTAGAGCCCGAACAGTCAGACGAGCAGGAAGTTTCGTCCGAACGGCCGGACAACAGTGAAGCCAAAGGATACACGAACGAACAAAAGAGGATGAGGGAAGAACCGATCGAGGGCCCATAAGAGGAAGACGAATACCCTATGCTGACGTCATCAAACGCAAACACACCTTCACCCCCGAGAGACGGACAGGGCGAAAAGGCTGTGAAAGAATCGGAGGCCGATCAATCCGACCCAAAAGGAGAACAAAACCAGAAGTCCACCCAAGAAGAGAACGATCCGTGCGATGAGGAGGATCGAACGGTAGACTGGGGACGCTGACCAGGGAAGGAACCAATCGAAGAAAAAGACGAACTGGACCCCCGAGACCAATTCAAAGAAAAGAAATCCGAACGGTCCGAACCAAGCGAAGACACGAATATGATCTATCTTGATGAACCAGCCTGCACCAAGTCATTACGCATCGGACGCAACATGGGCGAACCCATCCGGTCCAGGTTAATTACTTTTTTAATAAAAAACGCAGATGTCTTCGCCTGGACGCATGAAGATATGGTGGGAATCGATCCAAACTTAGCATGCCATAGCCTTCGGGTTGACTGAACGGTAAAGCCAATCGTGCAGAAAAGGAGAAAGTTGGGACCAGAACGACAAGGAGTGCTCGAGGGGGAAGTAATAAAGCTGATCGACAACCGGTTCGTTCGCGAAGCCAAGTACCCGGTTTGGGTATCCAATCCGGTCCTGGTAAAGAAGAACAGTGGGACGTGGCGACTATGCGTCGACTTCAGCGATCTCAATCTGGCCTGCCCCAAAGACAGTTATCCGTTGCCCAACATCGATTACATGGTAGACGCGATGTCCAGACACGAACTCATGAGCTTCATGGACGCCTATTCGGGATATCACCAGATCCCGATGGACTCGAACGATGAGGAGAACACATCTTTCTATTCGGCCAGAGGACTCTATTGCTACACCATGATGCCATTCGGTCTCAAGAATGTCGGGGCAACCTACCAGAGGCTCGTGAATAAGATGTTTGCAGATCAAATCAGACGAACTATGGAAGTTTACGTGGACGATATGCTTGTTAAATATGTTTTTGCGAACGATCATGTGTCACATCTTAATGAAATGTTTTTTATTTTGCGTGATTACTCCATGGTATTAAATCCCAAAAAATGTACATTTGGGGTAGGTTCGGGTAAGTTTTTAGGATACATAGTTAGTCAAAGGGGAATCGAAGCGAACCCCGACAAGATTAAAGCAATACTCGAACTAAAACCCCCTAGGTCGATAAGAGAAACGCAAAGTCTAACGGGTAGATTAGCAGCTTTAAGCCGATTCATATCAAAGTCCACGGACAAATGTAAGCCCTTCTTCGAGGCTATTAAAAAGAATAAAAATTCGAATGGACGGACAAATGCCAACACGCGCTGGACAACATCAAGGAGTCGCTCGTTCGGCCCCCGGTCCTCCAAAAGCCAAACCCTGGAGAGATGCTGTATCTATACCTCGGAGTTACCCCGACCGCGATAAGCGCCGTACTCGTTTGGGAGGAGAATTTGAATCAACATCCGATCTATTACACAAGCAAGGCATTACATGAAGCTGAGGTCCGTTACCCACAGATCGAGAAGTTAATCTTCGCCCTAGTGACGGCTTAGAGGAAACTCAGGCCGTATTTCCTTGAACACCGGGTGACCGTCTTGTCAGCCTATCATATTCGACAAATTCTCCACAAGCCTGATACATCGGGACGAATGATCAAGTGGGCTGTAGAGCTTGGGCAGTTCGATCTCCAATATAAACCACGGACGACGATAAATGGACAAGCACTGTCCGACTTCATAGCTGAGTTCACAACAGGAGCCAAACCAGTCCAAACTACAGAGACTTGGGAGATGTATATAGACGGATCGGCCACGACCGAAGGGTCTGGGGGAGGAGTCATGATCGTCAGCCCCCAAAGAAAGCTATATTTCTATTCGGTCCGGTACCTGTTTGTCGCGACTAATAACGAGTCAGAATACGAGGCACTGTTATCCGACCTGGACTTGGCCCACTCGATGAACATCACGAATTTAAAAGCATACTCGGACTCAATGTTGTTAGTAAAGCAAATCTCAGGGGAGTTCGAGACGAAGGAAGCCCGCCTGGTGCCATATTTACACCTAGCTCGAAAGAAGATAGCGCGAGCGAACATTCAGCTCGTGAACGTCCCCCGGTCAGAGAATGCCCAGGCAGACGCGCTCGCACGATTGGCATCCAGCAGAGGAACTGATGAAATCAAGTACATTTACACTCGCCATCAGGAGAGGCCAGCCATTCAGGTCGAGCAAATCATGAGGATTGAAGAATCGGTCGGTCCACAACACCCGAATGGATGGATCCGATCCGATCGTATTTGGAGAAGGGGGAACTTTCCGCAGACCTCAAGGGTGCTCGATCATTAAGGATCCGAGCGGCAAGATACACAATCATGGCAGGAACGTTATACAAGAGGGGCTATTCGAACCCATTGCTCAAATGTGTGGACGACGAAGAAGCCGAGCAAGTCATGAGAGAAGTCCACGAGGGCGTATGCAGGAACCATTCGGGGGGACGAGCGTTGGCGCACAAAATACTACGACAGGGGTATTACTGGCCCATGCTGAAAGGGACGCGTTTAACCTAGTCAGGAGGTGTGTGAAGTGCCAAACGTTCGCCCCTAACTTGAAGCAGCCGGCTCATCCGCTTACCTCAGTTTTCAGCCCCTGGCCATTCGCCAAGTGGGGAATCGACTTAATCGGACCCTTACCTACGGGCAAGGAGGAGTAAAATACGCGATCGTAGTAGTCGATTACTTTACTAAATGGGCAGAGGCCGAGCCTTTGGCCATGATAACCGAGCAGAAGATGGTCAACTTTTTGTGGAAATCAATCGTTTGCCGA